CAGTAAAGCACCCTACCTAATACAAAGCAATCATGCACACCCTTAGTCTATTACGAATTACAAAACATTTTGCCCTCAGCACATTTCCAAAGCAAAGTAAAAGAAAATCTAAGCTATCTAACTGAGAAGCTGAAAAGCCATCTCAACTGAAAATCACAGGCTTAAAATAACTCAAAATTTAAATTCCTTCTTTCTCTCCTTCCCTCCCTCGTTCCTTCTCTCTCTCCTTCCTTCCTTTTCTCCCTCCCTCCCCCTTCCTTCCCTCCTTCCTTCCTACCCTCCATCCTTCCTTCTTCCCTCCTTCCTTCCTTCCTTTCAAGAGACCATAAACCATCCACCTATTGAGAGATGGCAAGGGAATATTCTTCCAGAAAAGGCCAACAAATTATCTCTAATAAAACACATCATGTCACAGCAGCTAAGTACATTTAAGATGATATTTAAGGTGATAAAAAGAACAAATTAGTATTGACTAAAAAAAGTACACCAACTGTGAAGAGATCATTAAAGACCAGGACAAATATAACCTCTGTATAATTTTGAGATTATTTCTTTGCAGGCTTAACTGTCTGTCTTGACTAGCCCTTGTTTGCTTTCTATGTCAAAAGTAATTTTGGGGGATGAGATGCATGTGTTATTAGAGACATCACAGCCTGAAAATATTTATCCTCAAAAATTGCTTAAGAATGATCATCTACAATTAGACTGTGCAATCTGTTCTTCAAACCAACTAGACTAATTACTTAATGATACAATTGTCCAAAATTAATTGAGAGTCTTCAATTACCCAGAGAGAAAAAAATACTTGCAATGTCTGATGTCATGCTCACAAGCAAGGAATTATAAACTTGCTGTAATTCCTGCTTGGTGTCCAGACACAGGCATTGATATTTTGGCAAATTCTTGAAACACGAATAGAAGAACATGTTTACAAACAGTAAAAAAGACTGGCATTTTATGCAACGTTGAATGACTTAAAATAGGCTCATAAAATATAACATTTCATTTAACAGTCCTCATTTTGATAGTAATGTAAAATATTTGAACATTTCCTGCTCTTACTAATTTTTCCATTTGCAGATATTTTGCTCCCTCTGCTTTTCTTAAATTCATTATAGAATATTTTAAAGGCATTCGACTATAACAAATAAAATAACTCAATAAAAAATGAAGCAACAATAATGCTCTAACATGGGAACTAAGACAAAAAGAAGTGGAGATGGAAGGACAGACCTGTAACTCTGGACATATGGGATTTTCCTTCCATTAATGGTGTCCATCCAGTGCAGGGACCTGGTTCGTATGCATGAAAACTGAGGCATAGAAGGATATAGTTCAAAATACTAACCTACCTTACACAAAGCTAAGATGTGTGACTTTTCTTAACCTCAGGATTCTTAACCTAGGACTTTGGTAGCCTTCTACACTGTAATGGCAGAGATGAGTAGTTGGAACAGGAATAGGACAGCTCACAGGGCTAAAATCCGCTAACTTTTCTTCTAGAACACAGTACATAATTTCAGTGACATGTTTGCTCCTAATGCGAAAGTGTGATGGTCAGGCTATTCTTCCATTTCACAGGTTAACTATGTCCTAAAATTTCAGTTGTGTATCTATGTGTGTGTGTGTATACACATACACACACACACACACACACACACATACATATATATATATATATATGTATATATACACACACATATATATATATTTCAACCATGGGATACACAACATATGAAATACATCCAATTTAAAACTTAACATGATGCTCAGAATAAAGAATTGTATGTTGAAAATTTAAAAAATGAAACTAATGTTTGTGATTATAGTATTATGATATAATACTATAAGTATAATCCCTGACACTTATTGTTAAAATCAGTTACATGGAAGTGGTGACAATGTAGCATACACATGTCTATTACTAAGTAGTGAAGAAATGATTGAACCACAGACTTGGGTTTTATTCCCAACTCCGTGACCAGTTCAGAGCGTAATGTAACCAATTCTTACTCCTCCTCTTGGTGTCTGTTTTCTCAGGTTGAATAAGGACAGTGAGTCATCAGGACTTTGATTGTGGAAACTTCTTTCATAAATCTGTAATAATGACTTGATACCTGTCTTTTGGATTTTAATGACATGTATAATATTTTGACTTCTATTAAACTGTGAGCAATTTTTAAAAATTTTTGAGAAAGTTTTAGAACCTTCTTGTCTTAACTGCATTAACTGTATGTCTTATACTGAAAGGAGAAATCTCGTGGAAAATAGCTTGTAATCTTGCATGTGGTAAAGTCTATTTAATGTAATTTAATTTAAATTTATAGGCAGCCAGGCAGGAATGTAGTTGCAGGACACAGGGATACACACACACACACACATATGTGTTTATATTTATATACAAGCAGGATTTATATGATATATATGAGTGAACATATATGCACACCCCAAAATACATAGATACACATATGTACATATATGTGCACATAATTGCAGCCTATGTACAAACATATACACGCAAGCCAATTGCACTAAGAGCTATGGAAGATCTACTCAAATAAGTGAAGGATGAGAAAAAGAGCTAAATTTCATTTTTTCTTGTAATTATGTTTTGTGGTTTAAAGAAACTTTTGGTTCTTTCCAAGCAAATAAATATAAAAGAGTTTAAGAAAATCAAATGAGGGGGATATGACCATCGATTACACATGTTCTCAGGATCAAATCACAGAAGGTACAGCCGTCAAATCCACGGGGTAGGAATGCCTCAGTGGACTTTACAGAAATGTGTGAGAGAGAATCCTATATGAGCAGGTTTGCAAAGAGACCTGGGCTTCTCCAAATAATGTTTAAGATAAAAGGTTTAACTTTTCTGTAAATTTGTATCACTCTAACTGACGTTTATCCAAAGATTGTCGACGTTTAGAATCTGGATGGACTGAACATCAGTGACTGTGAGCAGTCAGGGATGACTAAGCAAATAGGACACGGGCATAGCGGTGGAGTTAAACTTGAAAAAATGAATAAAAACAGGAGACTTGCAAGATGGGGAAGATTCGGTTATAAGTACCGTGCATGGTGTGATCCTAGCCCTAGGAATGGAAATGTTTGTGAGACACGCAGAAATTAACCTGAACAGTGACGCATTAACAGAGAGAACCTTACCCTAAGAATGCACTGAGGAAAGGTCAGATTATAGAAGGCCTTGAAAGTCAGCCAGTGGAGACAGATGACCTTTTTCCAGAAAATAATGAGAAATTTTACACAACTTCTGAATAGGGGAGTGATAAGTTTAAAATAGTACTTGAAAAGGTTATTTTTCAGCAAGGGGCTGAGAAGGTGGGAGGGAGGAGTGGAAGTAGTCAGATCATACAGGGCACTCTGAGGTTCAAACTGAACAATGTAAATTTCTTCACAAAAAAGGTACTAAAGATGGAACTCTAGGAACTGTTAAATGAGGTGCAAGAGTGGGTTTTACTATGAGATCTGATGTCTGACGTTAATTCATCTGATACCAGTTTATCCACAGATGAAGTCAGCACTCAAACAAAGCCAAATCACATTCAAAGAGTGTATTTCAGATGCTAAAATAATTAACCATGTAATATGGTCAATTACATTAATTAGTATCTGTCTGTTTTAGCAGGAACCTGTTAAATAAAATCACCTCAAAAAAGTTAACATTGACCAGGAAACTTGACCTGTTAGCCTTAAAAGAAGAGTTCATGATTTTGTTGTTTTTGTTGTTGTTGTTGCTATTTTTCTGTTGTTTTTTTTTTAAGTAACTCAATCTACAAAGGCTTATGTTATAAGAAAAAGAATTTCTTCAATTTTTTTACTAGAAGAACATTGAGATAAATAAGATACATTTTAAAAAATTTGAAAAAGCAAGTGTGTATAGGTTAAAGGCCCAAATGCTAAGTATAATGTCCCAAGTACTTGTTCCTCCTATAAAGCAATTATGGAGTTTTTAATGTTCAAATAATATCTGGGAGGTAAAAAAACAATCTGCTAAAATATGCAGATAAAAATGTGGTTCATTAAAATTAAAAATGTGGTTCATTTCTATAAGTCTAAAATATGCATAATAGCTAATACCAGAGATACATTAGAGATATTTTCTTAGTGGAATCACAAAAAAATTAGCAGAGTAACCACTGTTGTGTTTTTTTGTTTGGTTGGTTTTTGTTTTTGTTTTTGTTTGTTTTTTTAATAACGTGAAAGGGCTTCTTGACCCATGGATTTTGGCTCAAAGGGAAAAAGAAAAGAAAACAACAAAAAAGCACTAGTTCTAAGAATTAATCAGCATAAGAACTGAGTTGCAATTTACTTTTAAATATTTGCATATGCTAGAATTTGATTTTAAAATTAAGGAAATAACTTCAGGTGCCTGGGAGGCTCAGTCGGTGAAGCTTCTGCCTTCGGCTAGGGTCATGATCTCAGGGTCCTGGGATCGAGTCCTGCATTGGGTTCCCTGCTCTGTGCAGAGTCTGCCTCTCCTTCTATAGCCCCCTGCTCCTGCCCTCTCAAGTAAATAAAATATTTTAAAAAATAAATAAAAATAAAGTTAAGGAAGTAACTTTACATTAAAAGAATGTCAAATAGATAGTCTCTTCCAAGTATTTAGTTCCTGTCACCACCTCAGAGATATGGAAAACAATCAGTTCAACAAGTTATGATGAGAATAAATAACTACTGTTGAGCCTCAGTAAATGCATATGTGGATTTGGGCATGAAATAGTCTGAGATGATCAAAAAATACCGATATTTTGGTCATTATTATAAGCAAATCAGATTTTGCCTATAGCAAAATGAATTCCTGAGAGTTTACCAGACATCACCCAGTCTTATATCTTCTGAAGCATTATTCCTTAATTTTTTTTAATATTTATGAACAGTTAAACCTATTATAGTGGGTAGCATCATTTCCAGGCATGCAGAGTGTCTAGTGAGCTGCACAGATCAATAAAAAGGGCACAAAGGAAGAGGAGCTGGAGACCGACCTCGTTCACGGTGGCGTAGTAGCTCTCGTGCTTGAACGTGGGTGAGTTGTCGTTCCTGTCCCTCACCACGATTCGAACTTCATGGTAGATCACAGTGCCCACCTTCTTGTTGATGCACTGGACTTGCACCACGATGGAGTGTATGTTCATCGGGGGCTGCAATACAGAAATTGTGCCTTTTTGTGAAGAAAAGCATTGGGACATAAGTGTCTCACTTATGGTCAAAGCACATTTGTTTCATAAAATGTTCTATGCTTGTTCATTTTAAATAAGAATAATCGATAAAAATGGATCCATTTGCCCTCTTTTAAGGATGAGAGAAGCAACTGTGATTATTTCACTGTTGAATTTTGCATCTGAGAATAATAGGCTCTCGGCAAGTGCGTGGACCCTCTGAGGATGGTGGTGAGCACAATCACAGAACCAGTGCAGAGACAGAGGGACAAAATGGAGTCTGTCCCTCCAGGAGTTAAGAAAGCAATGATATGAACTTGCCATCTGTAAAAACGATGTGTTCATGGTAAAATCTCTGGGGAAGAGGGGTTGCATAACATGCATGCTCATTTACACTTTTGCTAAAATATGTTTATATCCAATAAAAATTAAATATAATCAAAAGAAGAGAATCCGTTCACAATCCACCAAACTTACTCGTTCTATACATTTAAACACTTATTTGCTGATCTTTCTTTCTCCAAATATACACCTATTACACATGCACACACACACATGGTAAATCATCCCATGTTTGTAAATATAAATTTATTAAGGCATTTTGGTGTATAATATGATGCTTTATCACGTGATTTAACCGTACTGCATTATAAGTCCATAGCATAATTTCTCTTGGTATAGACTAATAATAAGATGTTCTATGCTGTCCATTTTTATCATTATAAACCATATTTCAATAATAATCTGTATATAAATATATGCCCACTTGTCCCCCTTTTAATGATAAATTCCTGAAGGGGAAAAGTGTCATCCAAAGGGCACTTAATAACTCGGGTCACATGGCCAAGAGGTTCCAGAACTGGGATGCAAACCTACATTTCTTTGACCCTTGAGTCAATGTGTTTAATGCTACAAAATATTCCTTTGTGGTTTTTAATTCTTCTAGCTTATAAAATTTTCCCTCTAAATACATCACTCTATCAGAATGATATATTCTGGCCACATGTTGGAAAGATGAGATCTCCAGTCTGCTCTCTCCTTCCAACTTCTCCCCTCACTGTTTATCTTTCTTTATTGCTTTTCTCACCTGCTTCTTGGCATATTACACATTTTACATATTGATTTCAGTCTGCCTCCCTTCACTGGGCTGGAAGGTCCATGAACCTAGCATTGGGTGTTATCATGACTAAGGCTCTCTGCCCAGTAACCACACTGTGCCTACAGGAGATAATCTGCCCATGTCAGACTGCGTAGCTTCCAGCCACTTACGGAGACCTACTAACCATACATTCGGAGCAAAATCGGGATAAAAATACCGATACAATAGGATCACCCTAAGGATCACCTGAGGTTATCCTGAGCCAGGCACACCTATAAACACCTGTGTTTTTACTTATAACCCAAGAAAGCAAAATGCATGGAATTTATGAAATACAAACTGATAATCTTGGATTATGAAATAACTTATTAAATATTTGGATTGAAACTGATTTAAAGACACAGCAAGGGTCACTGGAGGCTAGGATACGTTCATTAAAAATGTCACAGGCCACATTTCTAAGTGAGAAGAATGCTGTAGGGACCATATCTAAACTAAAGCTAACTTTGTTGAATCTCAAGGTATTTTTTTACAGCCGGTAAAGAAAAAAGGCATTTTAATTTATTTGTACCTGACTGAATAAATGTACCTAGAGAGAATAAATTTAAAAATCATTAACATATGCAGGCAGGTACCTGGTAAAGGGCTGTATAGCTCTGTGTTTCCCTTTTAATTACTGACATAATGATGGCACTGAAGTCCTGTGTATAAAATCAGTAAATGTCACAAAGCTCAGAGGGATACATCATACATTTAATGATGAAAGGCAGCATTCCAAATCATTTTAATAAGTCAGAAAACCAGGTTATATAATGATGTATTTTTACAATAATAACTTTAATTCACCTTGTTTGGTATCAGGACAAACAACAACAACAACAAAAACCATCTGAATTACCCATGTACACTAAATGGCTATGAACATTCATGTGAAAATATAACAATGACATTTTGATGAGTAAAGGATGGGTTTACACACCGACACTGTAAATGGATTGCAGGGGCAGTAAAGTCATACAAACTTCATATTCATTAATAATATCGATGCAGAGATCGGTGGATTAGAGTGAGCACCATTTTATAGACAGCTGTGAAGTCTGAGCACCTTGAGAAAGTGTGATAAAAATTGAGGATATTTAAGCTAAAAAGAGCAAGATGCATCAGACAGCTGAATGGTTATTTTGAGAAGCTCTACTAGTTTATTCACTGCAGTCTCAGAGAGCAGAAAGAACCACAATGAATAAAAATTTCGCAAAGCGTGTTTTTTTTCTTCAGTATAAGTAGTGGTTTTGTATTAATCCAAAGCAGCAGAGAATTGAATGGACCATCTTATAAAGCAAGCCCATCCCTGAAAATCTGCAGACTTGAGGCAAAAAGATCATTTCAAAAGATTAGGTCTATTTTTACTATCAGTTTGAAAGTGTTTTCTTTAATAGATTTTTAAGGAAAGTCCTGCGTATTTCAATTGTAAAGTAAAAAACAAAAAAAAACAAAAACCAAGCAACAACAAATAACATACCCCCCCAAAATCACAAAGACAAAAAAACAAAACAAAACAAAAACATGTATTTGTATTGTTATCGTGGATTTTAAAGGAAAGTCATGCATATTTCAATTGGAAAGTAAAAAACAAACAAAACAACAAAAACACCACAAAGACAAAAACAAAAACCAAAAAAAAAAAATAAAAAATAAAAAACAAATACTTGTACTGTTAGCCCTTGGCACCCATTAGAAGACAGGTGAATTAAGTTCTTCTAAAGTTACTTATCTTCTAAATATTACAAGAGACCTATAAAACTGTTTCCTCTCAACTTGTAGCACTATATTGAGTGGGAGCGTGGGAGCGCTGGGACAGAGAGGTCACAATCTTTGCTAGAAGGGAAGCAAATGCACAGTGCGCTGAGCCCCTACTTAGTCCCGTGACGTGCCCATAAATTAAACATAACTAGGTCACTTGGAACTCTGGCCACTTTTAACTTCAGCTCCCTATGCAACTGTGAGTAACATGGATAGGCCTTAGCTTGCAATAAATCCTAAACATAATGGATCACATTGAAGGCCAGAATTCCCGGTGTCTCATATAACACACATTGTAATCTCACCCTGGAATGGATTCTATTCTGCTGTATAAGAAGGTCATAAATATATCAAGTACGGTTCTACAGTCAGTGAGAGTTGAGGGACTACAAAATGCTTAGGAATCTGTTAGGGAAGTTTTAGGTTATCTTTCCTACCTGCTGGCAAAAATAAGTCCTGCCAATTTTTTCTTCCCTAATTCTCATAAATTGCTTCATACTTAAAGAAGAAGAAGAAGAAAAAACACTGTGTATAAATTTTTGGGCTAATTACTTAAAACAACTACCATTCACATATACCTAGACATGCCAAATACTCTCCCAATTTAAAAACGAATGTTTAACAGAATATATGAATGCATATTTATGTTAGCCTTCCTGTGGGTATGGGTCTTGATATGCATAACTTAAGTTTTGGAAGGACACATACCAATGGTGGATGGAGGTTATCTCATGAGTGGGTCTGAGAGTAGAAAGTAAGGAAAGAAACATTTCCAACAAATATGTTGAATTTTGCAATGTGAAGGAAGAAAAAAATGAAAATTTTTATTATGAGTTTTTCAGACAATCACTTATGATTTAACATGCAGAGTAAGGTTTCCGTAAGAAATTGACTAATGTGAACAGTGTTGATTATAGCATTCATCTTCAACCCCAGGGGAACTGAGTTTTCTCTAGAAACCATGTTATTTAGAGGCCTTATGGTTTAAAGAGAAAACAAATTTTTAGCCAACCTGTATAAGACTTGATTCTATTTTTCCTAAAATGAAGGCCAATTTTATTCAGTCCTCACCAGAATGAAAGGATTTTGTCACGATTTGTCTTCCTATGTATTTACTACCTTTACAAAATGAAAAATCTTCATTATTTCACAAATCAACTGGAAGACAGTGAAAGGAAGTAAGATACAGTATGTTGCAGAAATTTGTTTTGTTTTTGTTTTTAACATTTTTTAATTTATTCATTTAAAAGAGATACAGAGACAGAATGAGCACAAGCAGGGGGAGAGACAGAGGGAGAGGAAGAAGCAGGCTTCCCACTGAGCTGGGAGCCCAACCTGGAACTCAATCTCAGGACCTGGAGATCATGACCTGAGCCGAAGGCAGATGCTTAACCATCTGAGCCACCCAGGTGACCCTAGAAATTAGTTTTAAACAATGAAATGAACTTAAAGGAAATGGCTGGCCAGAGTTATGAGTGTCCCTCACAAATGAAAGTTTCATAGTAAATGATATATTGACATAAGTTGTCTAAAGAAGAAAGTGCCAATTTGATAATATAATTAGGATAATGTAATATCTAGAGAAATCTTTCATAATCAACTCTTAAGAACTTTCAGTTTAGTTAATTGTATTTATTAAATTCATAATTCAGTGTGGTTTGGGATTAATATGAAGCAGTCTTGTGCAGTAAGCAAATCCCATAAAATTGACATGACATGAACATAAAAATAAAGCAAATCAAGACATTTTGAAGGCTTTAGCGTTTAGAGCAAGAAACTACATACCAGTGTAACATGCAGAAATCTTTTATGTAAAGAGTGGCATTTAAGGCATGTCGTGGTAGTAGATGACATTCAACTGAAGGCAGACGGTAATTTTTTAGGTATAGATTAAAAACAGTACCAGGGAGGGGCCCCTGGTTGGTGTAGACAGTGAAGACTCCACTCTTGGTTTCAGCTCAGGTCTGATCTTAGGGTCATGGGATCAAGTCCCATGCCAGGCTCTCTGCCCTCTGCATGAAGTCTGTTTGAGTTTCTCTCCCTCTGCCCCTCTACCCACTCTCATTCTCTCTCTCACAAATCA